GAGGGAAGGAAGGAGGGAGGGAGGGAGGAAGGGATGGAGGGAGGGAAGGAAGGAGGGAGGGAGGGAAGGAGGGAAGGAGGGAGGGAGGGAGACCCAAGCACTACGCTATTCTCCCCAGACGAGCAGGAGAGCTAGGGAAGGTTGGAGCCCTTCTAGCTGCGCAGAATGGGGAACCACGGCCCTTTCTTTCCGTGTGTTGGAGGGAAAATCATTTTGGGGGAGCTCACTCTCCCCCATCTGAAGTTTGTTTGCCTCCATGGTCTCGTGGCTCTGGGCTTCTGGGGCTAAACAGCCCCAGCTGGGGAGCAGGGTGAGAGAGGGTAGGCTTCATACACCACAGCCTGTCCCTGCCCAGGGCTCAGCATGCCTGATGTGATTCTAACAGGGGTACAAACATCCCCGGAATAGAGAGAGGACTTGGTGCCCATTTACTGTATGTCAGACTCCCTGCTCCTGCCAAGGTAGACAAGGCAGTGCCCTCCAGGGAAGGGGAAACAGTCCTTGTGTTCATTTAAAGACACCACAGTCACAACAACACTGGAATCCCGCCCTGGCCCCCCATGCACGGTCTACTGCTTTGGTGAACTGACTTCATGTAGACTATTGCAGCATCGAAACTTCTATTCAAGATGTGGCCTGAGGTAGAAAACCACAAATTCCAAATACGAAAAGAGATAGTGACACCCTTTGGAAACCACAGAAGATTGTTCCAAGACCCCCAAGGGATACCAAAATCCAAGGGTGCTCAAGTCCCTTGGAGAAAACGGCATGAGATTGGCATGTACCTATGTACACCCTCCCACACGCTTTAACCCTTCCTCGGTCCCTTATAAAACCTAACACAACACACTGCCACAGAGTCAAATGTATTGTTCAGAGAATAACAAGAAAAAGTACGCACGTTCAATGCAGATGCACTTTTTAATATGTTTGATCCACAGTTGGTGGGATTCGCATGAAGAACCCCCAGAGTTCAGAGGGTGACTATACGTAGGTTAGGTCACATGATACTATGTGTAGCTCTAGTTGATTAGGTACTTATTCTCCTACCCACCACAAAATGAGTGTTAATTAGGAAATGGTTATTCCTGTGTGAAGGGAAACCAAGCCATTTTGCAACACACACAGTGCCCACCTTCCCCAACAGGAGACGCTGGGGGTCTCCTCATCTCACCACACCTGGTCCTTCCTTCAGGGGGTCACTTTTGCTCCCCTCCTCCCTCTTTTCAACTTTGTGGATCTTAAAGTTTTTAAAAATAGTTTTATTGTGGTATGATTCATTCGGCACATCATTTACCCTCATGACGTTGAAGATATTGACTGCTATACAACCGCCTCCACAGTTTAACTTTAGAACACTCTTGTCACCCCTAAAGAAACCTGAACTCCTTAACAATTACTCCAAATTCATGCCTTCACCACACCCCAATCCTAGCCAACACTGACCTACTTTCTCTATTGTGGGTTTGCCTGCTGTGGACATTTCACATGAGTGGAATTGTGCAGATGTGGCCTTTTATGACAAGCTTTTCTCGTCTAAGGATTTCAAGGGCCATTCACGCTATGAAGCGTATATGTACCTTATTTCTTTTCAGGGCTGAGTAATAGTCCATGTTTGGATATCATATTGTGCTCATCTGGCTGAAAAGGAACTAATTGTGTCAGGGAAGTTCTTCGCTCTCATTGCCAATCCCTGGTCCAGGAAAACATCCCTGAAGACACCCAGAGTGTGCCCTGGGCCAGCATGTGCTTCTCTGTCTACAAGGCAGGTTCTGGTTATTATTATTATTATTATTATTATTAATTAATTTTTTTTTTTTTTACAGATTCCAAACCAAGTCTCAGTGTTGACTCTTGGGCTGGTCTGAGAGCTGATTTGGGCGGACGATTTGGGTCCACTCTGCCGGCTCAGCTCTCAGCCAGTGTCTAGCCCTGCAGCCTCTCTCCCTATGCGATCTTTCTCTTCCGCTTTAGGAACCCCTTCATCGGTAGGTGATAACTGCGTGGAACTACAGCCAACCGGTGTTTACCCGGACCTCACTCAGGATGCTAAGGACCACCCTGAGAGGGGTTCGAAGCTGAACCTCTGCTGACAGAGGAGGCTCTGGCAGCGTTTGTCCCCGCACAGTCTCCGTTCTGGCCCTTTTGTCCCGGAGCGCCGGGATCTCTAGGCCCCAGCTACCTAGAGACTTGTGGTGATGAGCACAGCAGCTAAATGAGCAACAGCGATGAGGAGGAGCCCGCGTGCTGAAGGAGCCTCTGAGGCGGCTCTGCTGACCCTGCTACATCGGGGGATTCACAGACGGGGGTGGGGAGGGCGAACTTATCCACATCTGCTCTCTCATTCTAGAGACCCTGAGGTCAGGGAAGTCACAGCACCTGCCCTAAACAGGAAGGGACACCGGCTTCCAAGGCCACTTCAAAGTGGGGCGGGGTCCGAGTGTTAATAAAGAGTTGTTCTGGCGGTTCTCCCGGTGGCAGGCTTCTTGATAGACATTGTTCTGGGCCTCCCGTGGATTCCAAAGCCGGGTGTGCCTGAAGAACTACTCCTTCTACCTGCCCGAAGGCCGCCACCCCACCCCCCACCCCCCCACCCCCACCCCGTCCTCTTTTCGCCTTCACGCTCCTTGCTACTTCCACTTCGTCCACGAGAGGGCGCCAGACACCAATGGTTGACGATGAAAGAGCCGGGCCTAAGGACTGTCACGGAAGTTGTGGATGGATCTTGAAAGGGTGTCTGTCAACTTCACCTGACTTTATTCTCCTAGAAAACATTCGTCTTGGGGGCATACTCTCTCTGTAGGGAGTTTTTTATAGTCATAGTTCTGAAGAGCATATTACTGAATGCAAAGGATACATTTCCCTAAGCCTTCCAACCTCTCCGCTGTTCATCCTTCTATCTTTTGCAACAGCAGAAAAGTGAGGCAGAGACTCATCACTCCTTCCTCAGAATTACAACATTACAAATGAAAATGAGTGCGGTCATGTTAAATTGTCGATTCACCCTCTGGGTCTGCAGGTGGCCTCCTCTGAGGCAGGCGAGGATGTAGGGTAACATGGTGATGTGCTAGGGAGCGCCACAGGGCCCCAGTGTCTTGTTCCTGGGGCATCGAGGCACTGGCTGCTGCCCACTGCACTCGGGGCTGCTCTGTGAGCAGGGTGGGACGCAAGCTGGAGGTCAATACCCAAGGGCAGTGAGTGGAGCCTGGAGATCCGGAAGACGAGGAGGATCATGGGACCGTTGACTTGGAAAGGAACTTTACAGCTTGGGCCTGGGCCTGGAGCCCAGAGGGAAAGAGATTGTAGGCTGCATGCAGGAAAAGTGTCGCAGGTCAGCAGAGCCGGGGCAACAGCACAGAACGGTCCCTTCACTGTTCAAGGCCCAGCCTGGTGGGCCCGGGAGGGTAGGGGTTTTTTTATTTGTTTGTTTGTTGTTTGGTTTTGTTCTGTTTTGTTTGTTTGTGGGTAGCTGTGAAGGTGGCCTAAGACAACACTGTGAGCTTCCTTAAAAGGAGATTTTGTTGCTGCACCTTGATGGCCCCATTCTGAACTCGGTAGACGGCAAGATTTTGTCACAGTGTTGTTGGACACCCTGTGCCTGGAATAAGAATGGAGGTGGGAGGAGTTGGCTATACCTGCCTGTAGAGAAAGCTCCCAGGCCTGGGTTCAGGCTCAAGGCTCAAGGCCTTGCCAGCTCCCTCACTGACGCAAATTACCTATCACTAGGCACATGTGGCCTGCTGGGGTCAAACATTTGACATAAGCCCAAAGGGACTGAATTTCAGCTCTGAGAGTTGAAGTAGGCCCATGCTGTCCCCTCAGCAGAGCTTCCCCACACTCCCAGCCCTTCCCAGAAGACCCCCCCCAACACATAGCCAAAGCCCTCTGAGCTGCCTCCCACCCCTAATTCAAAGAGACCCTGAAATCCTCTTGCTTTCGAGTGGTGCCCGGAGAAAAGCTGAATTTGTACCCACGGTCCTAAAATAAGGAGCTAGTCGGTCAAAGAAATGAATGCTCCTGTTGGTCCTCCTTTCCACAGGACCTGTGATTTAGTGATGCCCCCGAGGGCCAGTGGCCAGGAAGGTGTGATTTAGGAAGAAAGGGCACATGCAGGAAGGGCAGACACCTGGGAGAAACGCAACGTCACAACTTGAGGCAGTCCGGGCATGGCTGGCCAACTTCTCGAGGCCGTAGCCTCCTCTGCACACACCCGTGGGCTCTTCCACAGTGGAAGGTGTGCCCATCCGCTCACGCGTGTGCCACGGACAGGGTGGGGAGTGGAGCAGTTTCAGGGAACAAAAGCACACAGATGTGATGCAGAAGAGGCCACCCAGGGGGGATCCTGAGCCCAGACACACTAAAAGCTGACGTTCTTCAAGTCCCGGGAGCAGCGGTACCTGCCGTCCGGGAACGTGGAGCACAGCAGGCTGGGTGAGCAGGGGCAGGTGTGGTGCTGGCGTTTCCTGAAGTAGGGGACCTGGAGAGAGAAGGAAGCCGTCCATCAGCCACAGGGAAGGCCTGCAAATGTCTCCTCCCAACCAACAATAACGGAGACCACTCCAAGGCGCTGAGTGACAAAATGGCATGACAGCATCACCCAGCTAATTCGTGGACGAGCGAGGATTTGAACCTCAGAACCTGTGGCCATGCGCTCGCTCTCGCGCACACAGACACACGATTGCAAACGCTCTCACACCTCTGGCAAGTGAATCTCTCTGCTTACTGGTGTGTTCCTCAGTTCTGTGGTCGGGAAAGACATTTGTTTATATGTGTGTTATTGTATGCGTGGGGGCGCAATGGGGAGAGCATGCCTGTGGAGATCAGAGGACAACTCGTGAGGTCTGTTCTGTCCTTCCGCCTTTATGTCTGTTCTAGGAACCAAACTCAGCCACCATGTTTTCATAGTAAGCTCTTTTACCTGCTGAGTCATCTCACCCCACCCCCACCCCCCACCCCCCACCCATGGGTTTTAAATAGAGTGATAAGGAGACTAGGTCCAGCACTGGCCTACCTGGGTTCGAATCCCAGACCTGCTGTTTACCATATTGGTAACAACTGACCACCTGTTTACCCTCGCCGAGCTTTGACTTTATCATCTACAAAACGGGTTAATAGCTCCTAAATGGCTCTATGGCTATACAGACTGAGACTGTATATTTATTGAACACTTACTGTGGACAGATGGCCTGTAGGGAGCGTTCAGCAATTTGTTTTATGTTAATGCTGATGTCCTTATTGGGAGCGTGAATCATTCTTAATCATTTCCCATAGCCCAAGGCAATGAGGGTGGGAGAGCGTTCAGCTCTCAGCTTCCTGAGCCCATGGTGGTTAAAAACAAATCAATGGCCTTGAGGGGCATTAGGAGAGGTTGCTGGAAGATTCTCTGACTCCAGATGAGCCCTGGAGCTTGTACAGACAAGTCACCAGAGCTCCAAGGACTGCTAAGGGGCACTGGATATGCTTAGGTCCAGCCCAGCAAGGTCCCTGACACTTAGTGGCCCCACCCTCCAAAGGCTTCAGGTTGCAGCTACATCATCTGACCCTCCTAAAGCCAAGAGCCTCTTGGTTGTCCTGTGCCCTTGGGGGCTAGAGACAGTCGCAGAGTTCGCTGCTTAGGGCACAGAAGAGGAAGTCCCCCTTAGAGAGTGTACTCTGCTCTAGCTGTAGCCCTGTACCAGAGGCCATTTTGTGTTCTTAAAGAGAGTCTGTTCCTGAGAACAAAGGACATTTGGGAGCCTTTTAAAACTGTCACTTCAGGGTTAACTACCCTGCCCTCAATAAACACAGCAGGTAGAAAACTGAGGGTGGCCAGCCTGATGGCTAGCCGCCTTTGTGATTGCTGGAGCACTCCACAAAAACCAAGGAGGCTGTACCCCACACCAGTGGCCTAGGGCTGTGGTTGACTTCAGAAAACTCCATTCTAGTCCCAGCCATCTCATAGACCGTGCCTTGAGCGAGTCACATGATCTGTGATCATACCTCAGTTTGCTAATGAAAACGCAGGGATACTTTAAAGATCAAATCCTAACTGTTTCTCCAGCCTGTCTAGAAGGGTGCAGATGGACAATGTCAGCATCCAAACCAGTGTCCGGACAGCATCTGCAGGCCTAAGTAAGGCTGCTGCCTGGGGCAGCCTCCCCATGGCTGTCTGCTTCCCTTCTTCCAGTTAGGCGGGATCCACTGTGGAGGGCGCAGTATTAATCTCCCCCAATATCGTCATCAGAAGCCTCAGACTCCAATGGTCTAAGTTGCATCCAGGCCCCAGGATCCCTGTCTGCTTGCCCATGCTCGTTCACGCACAGGCCCATCCAGCGCCAGCAGAGTACCTTGTGGCTTCCTGGGTGGCACTCCTCTCCTTCCCGACCCAGTGGGGTGCACAGCCTCAGCCCCCGCAGCCACAGACTGACGGCACAGCAGGTGCCTGCCCCACACTGGACATCTCGCTCACAGGCCTACAGGAGAGAGAAAGGGCCAGCCCATCAGTGCCAACCAAGAGAACAAAGCAAAGGGAACACTAAGCCTTTCTTGTCAGAATCTGGAGGAAGTGACTGAGTGCCGGGGATTAACAGGACACGTTGGCTGGAAAAACCACTGCTTGCCTCAGGCAGGACACTCAGGGTTCAGCACACTACCCGACCTCAACCTGGGGAACCATCCCAGCTCGGCGACAAGGCAGTCCCCGTTCCCTGAGGAGACCTATGTTAGAAGGCATAGCTTTTCTAATACCAGTCAACACTGATACAATTGACTGAATTAGAACTCTCTGCTTGGGGGTAAAAGGGGAGTCTTTGGTGGTCCAAAGCCATGGATGCTCCCTGCTGAGTTATCTCGGGGAAGAGGGAGGGGTGGAGAATTCTCTGTCTTCCAATGTGCATTGACATTGTCAGCTGCCTCCCTGCTTGAATCCCACGGCCTAACCCAGGGGCCTGTGGACGGGTATCTCCACCAGTGCTTCTCCGCTGGCCTCTCTGGGCCCCTGACATGGACCCTTCTGGTTCGGGCTGTTTGGACCTGCTGGGTTCCTGGGGAATGCCTATGTAAGGAAAGGTCAAAGGTGCCCACTTTATACCAACGCCAGGGTCAAGAAGGCAGGCAGGAAAAACGGAGAAACAGCCAGCCTGGCCACACTGCACAGAGGCCAAGTGGCTTCAGAGCTGAAGCTGGAAGCTGAGTTGTGATTTGCTTTTCTCCAGTGGCAGGCCCACAAAGCACCTCCAGTCTGCCGGCGTGGGACATGACAGGACCTGGAAGCTCCAGGCCTTTCCAGATGAGGAGGTGAGAATGCCACCAGAGAAGGTACAGGTGAGCATCACCATCAGTGACTCTAACCCACAGATGCGCTTCTCACACCCAAGCCAGTCCCTATCAAAGGAAGGGCGAGGGAAGTAAGTCCCACTGGGACTCTCCTCCCCTGACAGTGGCAGGCGTGGCACTCTGGGAGGTTGGGCCCTACAGCCTAGACTGTCGCTGTCTAAGGAGCAAGGGACCGCAGAGGTCAGGACCTGGTGTCTTTCTGGGAGACAGACGAGGGACATCAAAGGGACATGGGAAATGGAGGGCAGCTGGGCACCCCTCGATTCCTTCCCCTCAACAGTGTGTTCTGACCAAGCGCTGCTCATCTGGCCATTCATTCGCTCCATCTGACTGACCTGACCCTCTTACCTCATTGTGCTCCTTATTAAGACATGTCCCACCTCCCTTAGGCCTCTCTGCCTGTTGCCACTCGGGGATAGATGTTGGAGCTGGCTTGGTGACCCTGACACCCAGCAGCTCATCGGGCTGTGTACTCCCAAACCTCACTCTGTGTGGCAATCCTCTCGTCTCTCCTGGGTCTGACGCCCCGGTCTTCAGGGCAAACACAAGCAGGCTCTCTCCACAGTCACACTCACTAGACGCAATTCTGCCTTCAAAGCATTCGCTTGCACTGTGTGTTATTTTGAATGGACTCCCTTTCCTAAGAAAATGACAGTGAGGTTGCTTTTTCTGTGAAAATTAAAATTTATCCAGTTCCAGGAATTGACTGGCATTATCCACACTTACCTTCCAAGTAAAAGGTTGGAGGAGGTTGAAATAAAAGTTCTCTCTCTCTCTCTCTCTCTCTCTCTCTCTCTCTCTCTCTCTCTCTCTCTCTCCCTCCTGACTTCTACCAGGAAAACTCCCAGGAGAAACACTGTGTTTTGGTTTGTGATAAAGATGGTCCTCATATGACACAGCATGTGTCTACATGATGGGGACAGGTCCCGTGGGACATCTGAAAGGCCACCATGCTCAGAGTGAGGTGTTCGGTAGCCTTGGGCTGGACCCCTGCTAACTCGTTTGGGGTGTATTCTGCCAATGCTGGTGCCACCCATCTTCCCCTGGGAACCCACTAAGGAGTGAAAGGAGGTGTCTGGTGCATTCTTCCTAACAGCAAAAGTAGACCTGAGGTGGGACTCTGTGTCCTTTCCTGAGCCACACCAGCATGCTCTGTAAGTTAACACAGAGTAGACCAGACACCGATGAAAACCAAGGTGTGGGTAAGACAAATGGGGCTTGGTGGGGGCGGGGGTGGGGAGGCACGAATCCACCCTCCAAAGAAACTTCCCCTGGCACACACTAAGGAATCCTCATTTTACTAAATACTCAATGTCAAAATCCCAGTGCCCTCCCAATGTATTTAAAAACCACTATATTTACACACAGCTTCTCAAAACCCCCCTCTGTCTATCGGAGTGAGGTCTGACCCATCGAAAGATTACATGCACCCCCCCACACACTCCTAGGCAGTGACCACCTCCCAAATCCCTTTGGTTTAGGTGACTTGGAGCAGCAGGGCCTTCGTGGTTCTCAGCTCACATCCTGTGCAGAACCCTGATCTTGACCCCAACCCAAGCCTATGGAGAAGGCTAGAAACTTACCCCTGTGATCACAGCACAGTGGGACACAGTTGCTAGGAGGAACACGATGAAGACTTGCGTGGTCCCTCTCATGATCACTCGGGGTGTAGACAAACGCCGTCCACTCCAGTGCCTCTCACTTCCTTCTGCCCTGCCTTGCGCTGGGCAAGCAGAGAAGGCCAGGCTGTCCTGCGTCTACCTCCTTCAGATTTATAGAGTCGGATCCAGGACTGCCTCTGGATGCCTCATCTCGCTCTTCCCTCCCATCGCCAGCGTTATTCAGATGAGCTCAGACGAGACCTGAATCTCTAACGGCAGCGCATCACCGTCAGAACTGATAAAAATGGGCACATCGGGGGACTTTGACAGTCGCTCTAACTCTTCCGAGGGCATCACGCTTCCAACAGTTGCCTGCAATTCACTTGCTATCCATTTCTGTCTCTGCATCCTTCTTCGATGCTTGGGCCAGGAGAGTGGCTTCAGTCATGAATTAAGAGATTTGCAACATCGATTTTTTTTCCTCACCCACACCGAACTTCGCAGCCTACAGGAGTGTTTATCCTCTCACACTCAAGCCATCAAGCATCATGTGGGCATTTACCCTGAATTCAGCACAGAGGTGGTTGAGAAGACAGAGGGTGAGGCGGTGTCTGTTCCTGACCCCTAAAAGGTTAAAATTCCCCAAATGGAGACAGTATACAGTGAGAAAATGCATCTGCAATGTTGATGCTCCTCACAGATACGCAGGCGGGTCTGCTCTCCTACAGGCTCTAGACCTATAATACCTGTGTGCTGGTGAGTCTTCTATGTCTAATTGATTGGCTTCAGAATCACTATGGAAATACACCTCCTGGTACGTCTATGAGGATAATTCCAGAAAACGGAAATTGAAGAGGGAAGATCTACCATGTCTGTGAGGTCCGTCCCATGAGCAAGACTCAGACTAATGAAAGAGAGAGCTGAGTGCTGGTGGTCCCCTCCCTATGCTTCCTGACTACGGATGCAATGTGACCTGCCACCTCATGTTCGGTCTCCTTGATCTCCCTGCCATGGTGGGCTGTACACTCAAGCTGTGAGCCAAAATAAAACCTTCTTTCCTTCCTTCTGTCAGCAGTGGAAAAGGTAACTCACACAAGCAGTCAATGCCCCTGGTACGGGAACCAGGAACACAAGATAAGAAAGCACACAGGTTCCTCCCTGGCTGTATCCTGTAGCGAAGTGAACTTGGGCTGGGCTGCTGCCGAAAGGAGCCATGTTGGTGGTCTTCCTGCAGCGTGGGGTGAGCATGAGAGCGGCCTTGTCTGCAAGCAGACACACAGTGAGCTCAGAGGGCAGGCTGATGGGAGGGTGCCTCTGAGCATAGCCCTTCTCACTGGAGGGAAGCCCCTGGTCCCAACCTTCTGACAGATCAGAGAGACACTGTTGGATCCTTATTGGACCGTCCATCTTCTCTCCATGACAAGAAAAGCTAGTATTTTTCCAAGGTGTGTTTTCTAGTATGTTAGTTCAGGACGAGCATCCCTAACCCAAAACTCTGAAATCAAGACAGCTCCAAAATGGAGAACTTTCTGACTAGTGTGACATGTGGAGAATTCTACACAGTGCAACCTTGTTGTGTGCGCAAAATTACTTAAATTACCATAGAAACTCGCCTTTACGCTGTGTATGTGAGGTGTTCATGAAATAGACAGAATTCAAGTTCAGACTTATGCCCCATCCAAGATTACCCTTGTATACATACAAATATTCAAAATTTGAAAGGTGGCCCTCAAACCGGGGACCCTCCAGGTCTCAAGGATTTCAGAAAAGAGGTACTCAGTCTATGGGTGTTACATGGACAATTGTTTTCCACAGCCAGAGATTTGGGGGGCACTGAGTGTACCTACCTAAGGAGTTTCTTTCTGCAGAATTTTCCAGGGTCCTTCATGTTGACATGGGAAACATCAAGTGGAAAACACAACCTGTGGTATACTCATCCACGATGTCTTTTTCTCAAAGCATCTTGTGGAAATAGGGTTCTTACACAGTAATGTCAGCAGGCATCCATGACTGGTGAGAGGAGAATCCCGGTGCGCCTGGACACTGTGGCTGGTCGCCAGGCCCCCACAGGCAGACACGCTGACTCTGAACCAGATCGCTTGCTGGCGTCATGACCTGGAGACCTCCAGTTCTCGACATTTCCCCTAGTTCCTTCCCAGAACACGCAATTACCACGAGGAAACTGTGACAAGGAAATCTTATAAAATAGTGGCGTTGACTGAAAACATTCTCTTGTCTTGGCTGGTTGTGCTTGAAGAAGAGCCAGCTTGATGAGTGGGGCGGGAGGGACAACTGGTGACTCGGCGGGACTCTCAGAAGAGACGGGGTGGGGGGGGTCCCGGGGGGGGGGAGCTTTAGAAAGATGTGGCAGTGGCATTGCTTCTTTCTTCAGAAACTCCATTAAGCAAGCACTCACTGTGACCCTCCCCTGAGTCAGGACTTGGAACCGCTGGGCACAGCATCAGATGTGCTAAGGGTCACACTCTTGACACAGTCGGAGTCTTTGTTTTTGTTTGTTTGTTTTTGTTTTTCGAGACAGGGTTTCTCTGTGTAATTTTGCGCCTTTCCTGGGACTCGCTCTTTTGACCAGGCTGGCCTCGAACTCACAGAGATCCACCTGCCTCTGCCTCCCGAGTGCTGGGATGAAAGGCGTGCACCAGGGTCACTTTGTGGCTGACAGATGTGGAGTGAAGAGGTGAGTGGGGGTGGGGGGAACTAAGTGGTGGCACCTCAATAATTCAAAGGCAAGAAGATGGAGGTGGGGTGAACTGAGAAGCAAGTTGGAGGGAGTGGAGGAAATGATGGAAAGTCTGAAAATATGGGTTCGCTCATGAGGGGGAAAAGCTGGTGGAGAAGGCGTGTTGGACAAACGTCGACACATCTGCAGACATGGTAGGGCTGGTGGGCAGCAGACAACATGTAGTAGAGGGTTTGGGTGGAAAAGCCACGTGTACATGTGCAGATCATGGAGACAGAGAGAGGAAGGGAAGGAGAGAAGGGGAGGGAGGGAGGGAGAATGTGTGTGTGTGTGTGTGTGTGTGTGTGTGTGTGTGTGTGTGTGTGTGTGTCTGTCTGTCTGTCTGTCTGTCGTCTGTCTGTCTGTCTGTCTGCGGCGGGCAGGATTGGCAAGTGTAAACCCTGACCTGGTTTAGGCTCCTGAGACAGTCTTGAGGTCACGGTCACTGCTTTACAAACATAAGGAAACCTCCTTTAACGCCGTGCTTCTTCACCCGGAACTGTGGCGGATCTTGCGTAAATGGCTTACAAAGTATCGCTTCTGTTATTGGTTCTTCCGCTGAGGTGGCTGCGATACATTTTAGAACAAAGATAAGAAGTTAACAATAGAACAAAGGGAGCTCAGGCATCCAGACCAGGAGTTCTTAATCTGGGTCTACAGTCCCCCAAGGAATGCATGGCCAGGATTCAGACACATATAAACTTAGGCAAAGAGGAAAATTTTGTCTTGATTTTCACTAACCTCTAACTGAATTTTAATGTTTTCATCTTTTTTAACTGCAGTCTGAAACCTACAAAATGGTTGATAAAACTCATGACTTATAACCAAGAAAAAATACTATCATTTTAGTATCATTATATTGCTACAAAAACCTTAAAATATCCCTTCTGCTCACCACTATATGGAAATTGTGGTGCCTGTCAGAGCATTTCTAAGTTGGATTCCTGACATATTAATGAAGAAGCTTATACACTACCACATTATAAATATATGTTTTAATAGATATTTTTGATAACTATAGTTTAATATAATTGATTTCCTTTGTGATATTACTTTATGCATCAAAACCCTTAAACCAGAACAGACCATAAAGCTTTGATGCACGGTACAAAATGGCAAGAACTGAGGTAGACAGTGTAGACTTAGAAGAGAAGAAAAAGGGGCTTGGCTTACTGTATGTAGGGTCATAAATTCAGGCTAGCCATCAAAGAGAACCTGGAACTACACAAAGCCAAGAAGACACTGTCAAGAAAAAAAGAAGTGACAGAAGAGGAAGAGAAACCAGTTAGAACAAGAAGAAACGTTGTCTCCAGGGACCAGACAGAATAGGGACTGAGAGCTGGGGAGTATTGCAATATGTTCTGTTGCTGTAACAAAATACCTCAGACTGGGAGATTTATAGACAACAAAAACCTTCTGCTTGCAGTCACGGAGTCCAGGGAGTTCCAGATAATGGGGGCTGGGATGTTCAAAATCAGGATGCTGGCGGATTCGGCATCAAGCGGGAGCCCACTCTGCTTCCTAGACAGCACCCCTTCCTGGCCGCAAGTCCTCTAGTGTCTTTGCGAGGACACCGACCCCATTTCTGAAGGCACCGCCCTCCTAACTAAATCACTACCCAAAGGCTCTGCGTCTCAACACAGTCCCCTTGAGGGTTTGGTCTCAACATAAGATTTTGAGGAAACCCAAGCAGTCGGACTGCGGGATCCACATGGAGAGGTCATGGGAAATACGGCTTCTAATCTGGGTCAGACAGACTCTACCGCTGGTGCCTGAGCTCTCCAGACTTTGTACAATGCGCGATCCCATCCCACCTTGTCTTTGGGACTCCTTAGATATTAAAAACTCAGCACCAAGTGCCACATAGTCCTGAGAGCCTGGGTCCCGACCCCTGTGATCTCCACCCCACAGCCTACCTGGGTTTCAAGTAACTAAGACTTTCTTTAATCTATAACTGGAATGCGTAATGAGGAGACAGAATTACAGAATTACCAGAGAACATCAATTCCCCACAAATGAGAAACCTGGCAGTGTGGACCACCTCCTGGTTATCTCCACCTGGCCCAGACCATGCAACTCCTCCTCTTCTGAGCCCATGGACGAAGCCAGGCTGCTCTCCTATCCCTGGCTCTTCTTCCTGATATCTCTGCTCAGTGGCTTCTAGAAAGGGTAGGCTTTGCTTCCCTTTCCCATGTTCTCCTGGCCCCATCCAGTCCCGCTCTTTTTCCCATCACTTGAGGAAGCTGCTTCTCTGGCCCGTCCCCTGGTTCATGCCTAGCACACCATCTCCAGCGCCTCTTCCTCAGAGTGCCCTTTTGTGTCTCTCGGTACAGGTAACCACACTCTCCTCTCGTGCTAGCATCTTCTCTAGGTTTTCCCGTTTTCTCTGAAGTCTCCTCTGCTTCTTCCCACCCCTTCAATGACTTTCCTGAGGTTGCAAACTCATCCCAATGCACTTCACTGCCCCCAAAGTACTAAGGATCTTCTCAAGTCTGTGCCCCCCGCCCCGCCCCCCCGCCGCACACTTGGCTAACGGCCTCTTGGACATCACTCCATGTGGGTACCTCTCTGACACCCTTAACAAACCCCTGTCCCCTGGCACCTCTTTCCATCCACCCTTCTAAACTCATTCTCATGGCTCATAATTGTAAATAACAGAATACAGCCTGGCTGGCGTAAGTGGAAAAGATGGTTTAATGAGGCCGTTAAGAAGCTCATTGAATTGTTGGGTGGCTTGAGAAACAGGATGGAGCCCTGTGCTCAAGAACAAAGCCCAGAAGAAGCACAGCACAGAGTTGCCCAACGAGGACCACACCTTCTGAAAACAGACCTCTGCCGACATCCAGACCAGGAGCCTCTCCCTGCATTTTGCTGCATTCCTGTGGTAGAGTCTCTACCTGTGTAGTCTCCTCAGCTTGAAGGAGGCTAGAAGACTCACTTGGCTGCATAGCGGCCACCATAGCAGGATTCTGAGTCCTACAGGGATCACCCTCCCTCCTAGCAGGGAGCCTCCTGATTCAGCTTGTCCTGTACACCCAGGACAGGCCACAACCAAAACTGGCAGACAGGCAGACAGACAGACAGCAGGCAGGCAGGCAGGCAGGCACAGAAAAATAATTCCTATGTGTCTTCTAGCAGCTTGGTTAAATGTGATCTAGTTACTAATCCCTTTGTTCTGCCCTTAATCAGGGAAACTGGGGGGCCAGAAACCATAGCTAATTTTCTGAGGCTCCCTGGGTTGACTCACTGTGGGA